GCCATTAAAAAACTTGGTTAACGATCTTCGATTGCGTACCGGACCAAGGAACCAAGGTTTACCCACTTGTAGAGGGGATGTGGGAGCCATTGCTCAACATCATTTATGAAACCCCTGAGGTTTTGGTTCAGGCTAAACGGATGCTGGACTCTCACACGCTGCGCGCGACTGGTCATTTCTCTCCGAATAACTGTAATTGAATTGTTGGGGCTATGGCTGTAACATGTGGCCAGTAATTTGACGTTCGGCTCAGCAACGCATCGTTCACGTCGATTACACGTTCAGGGTCAATCAGTCGCTATAAGGCTAATGCCAATCGAGCCGTAGCATATGGAGACGAGTGTCTAAAAACGTTTAGGTCAATCACCAGATAGTCGGTTTATGCGCAGCATGATGACAGAGCACGATCTGTCTCGGGTCACTGCCTGACGAAGGGATCGAGCGAAGCACAAGAGGTCAGGGGGCGGATTTCCCCACCCAAGCGTCATCACTTCTTACACAGCCTGTATAATCCCTTTCTGTTAACACCCCTAGTAAAACGTTGAATAATGCATATCAGCTTACAAACTCACCCAACCCAAATCCAACATACGTGTTTTTTTCAATTGTCACTAGAATGCCATCTTCGGCAGATATGATTAAAAAAAATTAAATGAGCTTTTTTATATAGTATTGCATTAAGATAATATTCAGGCCTAAACAATAAATATTAGTTAATATGTCAGCGTTCTTGCAAAATAATATCCCATCACATGGGTTGGGTCATGTGGATGGCGAAGTAGTGTCTTTTTTACTTGTGAAAGTAGTGGAGGAAGGGGCAACCCGGCTTCACGTGTATCTGTCAGCTGTCTGACCGCTCACCGCACGATATTTTTTTAATGCGGGGTAAGGATGAGAATGGGGGATACGCGAGACCGAATGATGCACTAGCAGAGAAACAGTACTTCTGAAGCCAAAATCGAGCAGGAAAGAGTGTATGATGTATTGCCGCTTTTAATGAATACGATCTCGTTTGTTTTGTTTCAAACCGCTTCACGAAGCTTGTTGGCGTGGTCAATTTCACCCAGTAGTGAACGCCCTTTTCAAAGGCAAACCATAGCGAATGATCCAGAGTAGAATGTCAGATGAGCCGTAGAGCACGATATATATTAATCGGTCTGCAACGTAGCTAAAAAATGATTGCGTAGGGGTTTCCCCAATTGCACTGGCACATCGTTCAATTGCCGCTGCTTTTGGTCCCGCACTGTCACTGGTTTATCTTGTCTGAGCGATAGACTAGAGACACAAGTGTAAAAAGTTCACAAGAGCACGAACGATAGGCGTCGGTAGGCAGCACCATACTCCCTCTTGATGACATGGATGGGAGTAACAGATTAGTACAGCCGGCATTCGCTGATATAAATTTTTTGAATTTTCAAGCACTCATTTAGGAATCAAGTAGTAACATGAGCTAACGTAGTGCGCAAGTATAGTACTCTAATACCCAGTCCCTACAATTATAGCTACTAGAAACCTCTGGTTGTAATACACAAATGAGGTGTCGGGCACCGAGAATGTACGCGAGCATGGACATATGTCCCTCATCAGCGGCAGAAAGTTAAGCTCTGAACTCGCTGGTATTGAGGCGTCTTGAAAACGACTCACGAATCTGCCTTTACGGCCTAAAACGTTAGGAAGAAATAAGCGGTGGTAATGTGCATGCCGAGCGCTCACGCCTTCATCTTTCCATCAACTTGGAACGCAGAAAGTTTGTTCGTGCGACCGTGATAGATAGATACCGAAGTAGCGTCAAGTGAAGGCAACTGGCGCCTTCCCCACTAAAACGGTAGACAACAAGTCTAACGCTATCAATAAGGTTCTTGTTCAGCGTGGGAGGTGAGACGTTGTGCTCCTAATGTGACCTGGTGTCATTGCGCTTCGGTGCCAGTGGTAAGCATCATCGGGATTACAGTTTCGGCTTGCGTCGCAGTTACGTGACTTAGCTCCTCCCGTCCGGTCGATGACTGGTGGGCTAGGCTGGCATGTTTAAGAGAAGTCAAGCTCGCTTTGGACGCGACACATATCGACTTTCCGCTCAACTCGATCTTGGTCGTTGGACGAGCTACACAGTTCTACGAGATTTAACATGCTGAGCGCAGCCCGATACTAGCATGCTAGGCGTTTAAATAAACTAGGCGTTTATAGTACTCTGAGATTGATTCTTAACGAAACTAGGCGTAAATAGTACTCTGAGATTGATACTTAAACTTTTCTAACCCGCGCGAATGCGTTGGTCTACGCTACGTTATGGTAAGTCACCTTGGCTGGACGGTAGAACGGTGCGTGGCGAGGGACCGTAATCAATCCCCTGCGTATTGTCGCGGTATTCCTCCTTGATCGGGGTCGTGTACCTTGCAGACCGACCGTAGGAACTTTTAACGTATTAAACGTAAAACAAATGTATTGATTGTCTTCTCAGTTACTTGTGAGGTAAAGAGGAAAAACACGACTGAGCTGCTCTCCTCGACGTCCACGAGAGAGCAGCTCCCTACCGCTCTACAGATCCTCCTACGTGGCGGTCCACTGCAGATCTTGAGATCAGCCGTCGACAGGCGTTCCTTTTTATGCCGGGAACGACGACGTCGGAGGCGAATGACCCAGTTAGTTAGACGTGGTGCGCTTCACCTGAAACGCGTTGAGCTTCTGAGTGCATTCGGCGAGAAGGTGGAGTCCCTCATCCAGCCG